CCCAGCCAGGTTTCCATTGATATGCTTTGACACAGCACCGACCAGCCAGTCTTTTCAGCACTGGCCTTCTGTGGTTTGCCCTCGTCATGGAAGGCTGTCAGTCAGCAGACTTCCCCGTGATTGTGGTTGCATGAACTGAACGAGAATAAGAAATGCACCTTATTTGTACTATTTGAACCATAATTTGTTCAAACTGAAATTGAAATATTGTTGTAGTTTGAGATGGTGGATTTCTGATTTTCATGAGCTGTAAAGCCATAATGATCAAAATCAAAACAAAAGAGGCTTGAAACTTTTTTTTCCTGCATATTTTTTTTCAAGCATGAATGACTTTCTAGAAGAGAATTAAAGTGTAAGCCATTCTGGCCATAATCAAACCGCTGTGAGAATGATGACGCACTAGATGCACCATCATTGTTTTGTGTTCTGTTTTGTTTGTTTAAAATCAGCAATGCTTGAGGAGATGTACATTTTGCTTTTATTTTGAAAAATTCAGTTCCTGTTGCAGCATGTAAATATTTGGACATAATGTGTAAATATTAGCTTTTAAAAAAAAAAAAAATTTGACATGCAAATGCATGTTGTAGCATTAATGTGCAAATACAGAAAGCATCTACTCACAGATGATTTCTGTATTTGGAAACTTGTCTGGAGGACAGGTTTTTGCTTGTCCTCCTGGTCTATCTGCTCTTCCAGTGAAACAGCAGATCTCATACTAAAAAAACGCAAGATTAGGTGGAGCCAAATGTTGCAGTTTTCTTTTTGTTCCATATCTTGTTCATCACAACATTGCATTATATTTTCTGTTTAAGATCATGGATAATGTTTGTCTTCTTCAGGCTGTAGAGATTCTGAAAACTGCGCGAGAAATCCTGATGAGGGTTCGCTTCTTTCCCTACAGTAAGCGTTGGTTTACTCGATTGTATCAGGAGCATGCTGACAACCTAAAAAACCATTTATGTCAACATGTGTTTTTATCTCAACTGTTAAGATGTTTTAGAGAGATGAAGAAAGAAAGAAAAAAATGTTTTCCTGCAGAATTTGTGTTCATGGGTAGAGATCTTGTAAGATATTATTTTAAGACAGATCTATACTTAATGTCCTTAAATGTCTGAGTCTTGTTTTGCTGTTAGTAAAAGAAATGCTCAGAAGAAACTGTTGTGCTCACTTTGGCTTTGAAAGCAGGTTTTAGTCTGTGCCTTTTACTATTCCTCAGTGTGCTAATACAGCATGAGTTACATATTTAAAACATGCTGAATTTTGCAAGAATTTGAGCATTGTCAGTATGCCATCGTGTCATCGTGCCCACATAATAATAAGATTATCATCTGGCTTATCTGAGTGCAAAACAAAAGACAATAAAAACTTTAAAGCAGTAAAAACTTTGAGCTATGTCATACTGATACAGAAATGTATAACAGTGTCCATGTCAGTACTCTAATGGTGTCCTTTGTGTGTTGTTTTATCAGACTACCAACGGCAGAAGGAGAGGACCGTACACTAGATGGCAGCAGAGAGAGAGAGACAAAGACAGAAGGATACTTTACTGCACTTCACTAACATCCTCCCACACACTCTGGCCTCCATTCTGTCTCAGCTCAAAGATGACTAATGCATGACTAACAATCTCATTCAGTCTTTCATGTAAGGAAAATATACATGACGTTAAAGACTGAGTTTCATAGATACTCCTTTCTGCATGCTTCACATGATGAACTCTACTTCGATTGAACATATGGTTAGGAAGTTGTTTCTATGCAGAGCTTTTTTTAAGACTATAAACTAGATTTTACACTATAAATTATAGAACAGATAAATAATAAATATTTTCTAGTCAAGCAAAGGATTTAAAGATGACCTTTCCCATGTTTCCTCAAGCCCTGTTATGATATTTCTGCAGATGTTTGCATATGTGTGGACTAAACCACCATCACTTGATATGAGTTATGATCACCCGACCTCTGTTGAATTTATGAATATATTGCACAATGCTGTTTTTTCATATTTAGTAAAGATTTGTAATTGTGTACGAAATGCTAAGGGATGTAAATATACATTTCAGTCACTGCTACTGGGGGCTTTGGTACTTTTATGTTCCATGCACGAGTTTTACATAAACTGCGCCTGAGCTGATTTAATGCTGTTGCATAAACTATGTGTCTGAGGTGCCAAATGGTTTACGAGCATGGCTTGTAACGTGCTATTAAAGTGCATAACATTTATCGTAGCGTAGTGGTAAAGCTTGTAATGGGGTGTTATCTGTGAGGAGGCACCAATGTTTGCAGGTTTAATTCAAACCAAAGACAGTCTGGTGCTTTCATAATTTTGGCCTGCATGGTTCAAGATGTGCAAAGTCAGTAAAATCTGCAGATCCAACCTCTGGCTGCAATACAATGGAACATTCATAGAAAACAGTTGAATAGCTCTGGATCTTAGTGCATTATGCATTTATACAATAAACTGTACGTTAATAGCTACCAGTTTCATCGAAGTATTGTCTTTATTTCTGCACACTGATCATTTTTATGTAAAAAATTTGTTTGAATGGGTTCAGTATTTGTATTTTTTTTTTATAGAGGTTACGATTACAAAACTCAAGCTCGACTCCTTGACCTTTTCTAGTGTTTGGCTTTGTGCACTTGAAGAACTGGAACCAAAGCTAGAGAAGGACCGGTTTGTTCTGGTGCAAGTAGCAAAACTTGTTTCACCCTTGAAGTCAGTTTCTCTTGAAACTGATTGACTGCATTCCTTTTATTTGACAATTACAATGAGTACAAAAGCTTGTTAACCTTAAGGTTTATTTGAAAAAGAAAACAGAAAAGAAGGAATGCCTTGTAACATTGTTATCATTAAATAGTTTAATATGAAAAAAAAAAAAAGTCAACCTACAGGGGCTTCATCCCAGGCCATTACTTCATCAATTTACATCAACTTGAAATAAATAAATAAAAAAGCCTTTATGGTCATTCCAATCCTTCAGGTCAACTGATATTCAACTAACAAAATACAATAATTCTGTGTGTATTGTGACTTGGCAATACAACCTAACTGGGAGTTCACTTCAGTGCCTTCCTTGTGGACCAATGAAACTCTACCATTTGTAATAATTTACAATGCAAACACCTTGGTTGCACAACGTCTGAGTAAAGGCAACACACCTTCAAAAAGAGCCTTCCTAATTACAAACCTAAAGACAACCTGCCCCACAAGTTGCTACCTGTACATTATGCTGTGAACATATTAACAAAACCGTGTTTAAGTATAAATTATCACAACGTTACCATCGTTCTGTGTCGACTACAACCCCAAATGAAGATAAAGTGAGCTGAAACAGTTTCAGCTGTTTTCAGACCCGATTCCTTTGCAATATTCAATTCTCCACAGGTGTTTGCCAACTTTCTAATCTTATTTCTATTCACAGTCACTAATAATGACCTGCTAGAAGTCAAGTATATTTCCCTTTCTTCCAATTCAAATTTGTTCATGTAGCTGCAGCTAAAGATCGACTGTCTTTGGTCCAATTGTAAATGTAGTATTGCAAATGTGTCACATTCAAACCCCAACACCTCTAACCCTGTACAGTGGAAGTTAGCTTAGCTCAACACAGACTGAGGTGATGGCAACTTGATCTGTGCTCATTTCCATCTTGTCAGACAGTTGTAAACACTTCATGCTCTTGCTCATCCTTGAAGGCACACCGATTTAGAACTGGAGGATCTTGGTTACATCACAGAGAGCCGGAGACCTCAAGTCCATCTACAGTCCACCTCTCAATCTCTCCGTCTTTGTCCACCTTTCCTCCCATCACTATCATTCAATTTAGCTGCTGTCCTCCCCTTCGTTAGCATCCAGCTTTGAGCTTTCATCCACATTTTCCAGTGAGTCTGCTCTCTGAATTGACAGCTCAGCGGGGTCCATCATGGGAAGGGTGTTCTGCTCTGGGTGCAGCCAGGGCTTCAAATCGGGGGAATTCTGACTTTTCCAGTTTGAGTATTCCTGTCCCGCCTTGTGCACACTCTTCATTACCTAAAAAGAGAAGCGATGATGCAATTGTTAAAGGACTGCTGCACTCCTCCATTCTCAGTCAACAAAGCTGAAGATAAAGATGGTCATAAAACACTGCGTGGTAGATTACATGGCAAGTAATCTAGTTCTTCAAACAAAACTGAGTATGTAGAGAGAAGGTTTAA